TCTGCTGCCATCATATAGCTACCAGCTGTCCTATAGACTGCTGGAAAAATAACGCTCGTCATATTTCCAGTGGGCATCATATTTTTCAAATTGCATGTCAATTTTTGGTGTGCAATTTGTCGATTTGATTTGTTAAAATTCGATTTGTCAATTTTTTCAAAATTTGGCAAATCGCCATTTTTACTAATTTGCATAATTTCCGTATAAAAAGTCAAATTTTAATTCCAGAAATATTTGCAATCTCCCTGAATTTCTTTAGAAAATAACGATCTAGAGTCATATTTCCAATATTCATCGTATTTTTCAATCTGCGGGAGGTTATGGGTTAAATGTAACTATGACTCTCCCACGGTATCTGCATTTAGACGCTCCTCGCTTCCGATTGTATATGCTTAAGAGAGTACATAGCGCACAGCTGTCGCTCGCGGTAGCTGTGTAAAGTCCCTAGCTGGCCTCCTCGTGGCACTCCTGGTAATGCAAACAGCTAGGGCTTCCCCCATCCCCCCTGCTGCTGCTCTAAGGGGACCTTCCGTCTACCTGCAGTAGAGGCCATTTGTCAGCGACACTTGGTTTGAGCTATCCCAAAGGCCGTCTGCCCTTGTCAAGGGTTTTCGTGCCTTGTCACCCATAAACTTTTGTGAAAACCATTTCGGAGATGTACTGACCCCTGTCAGCACGATGGGTGACCTACATGACGATCCGGCTATGAATGACAGGTCGCCAGACTGTCCAAACTGTGGCAGATCCTTTCGAGACTATAGAGCAATGCGCGTCCATCTAAGTTGCATGCACAAGGTCCAATACCACCAGGAACTTGAAGAGGCCGCGAGTAGAGCGGGTAGGCCCAAAGCAAGATGGACTGATGAGGAGAAATGCCTCCTGGCAATGGAAGAGGTAAAGCTGGAAGGCAGACCCCAGGCAGGCCGGGAAGGTATGAACCAGAGGCTGCAACAGCGCTTTCCTTCGCGAACTTTAGAGTCCATCAAGAGTCAAAAGAAAAGGAACGAGTACAAAGAATTGGTGGTGGAATACAGAAACCGAGCGGAGGGTGAAGGCTCGGAGTCTTCACTGTCTAACTCAGACAGGGAGGACGAACAGCCTAGCCCATTAGGGAACCATGGACGGAGAGGCAATATTAGAGCGGCGGTGGGCGCCCCCGATGGCGCTGAACCTGACATGCCCCCCCCCCCCTGACGGGACCCCCCAGGAAGCTTCTTGGAAGGAAACCATGGTGGAATTCCATGCAGCTATTGCACCCAGGGGCCAGGAAACCGGATGGGGGGAAGAACTCCTTGATGAGGCAATCACTGACCTGGTCAGTGGTAACGGTCATAACGTGGATAGGATCCTTGAGCGCCATGCTCGAGTGGTTACTTCTGCCAAAAGATCTGGTGACCACGCACTGCGCCCTCGCCCTGCGCGTCGACAGAGACCTCCACCGATTAATTGTGCCGATCCAACCCAACCTCCAACCGGACGAAAGAGGGAGCGAAGAGCACGGTATGTTCTGTGTCAGAGCCTGTACGAGAAGGATCGTTCAAAAGCCGCTGCGCGCGTCCTTTCCGGAAACTGAAAAGTAACCCCCACTGAGGTGGAACCAGCTCGTCTCTTTCCATTCTGGGAGGCACTATTCTCTTGACCCACATCACCGGACCGCCGCCCAATTCGTGACCATGATCCAGTTAATCAGCAACTAGGGGACCCAATAACACCTTGTTGCTCTCAATGCAAGTAGCAATGCTGCTCCCGGCCCAGACGGTATCACTATACGTCTACTTAAAGCTATACCAATCAGGGTGTTTGCAAAACTGTTTAATTTGTGGTTGGTAAACGAATCCCTGCCACAACCCTTTCGCAAGAATAAGACAGTGATGTTACCTAAGAAACCTAACCCAGACTCTCCTTCTCAATATCGCCCCATAACCATGTCATCTACGATAGTGAGGCTGTTCCATAAGATTTTGAGCAGCAGACTCTGCGAGGCAGTCAGGATCGACAGGCGGCAGAAGGCCTTCGCCTCTGTGGACGGTTGCCCTGAAAACCTGGTGATCCTGGATGCCCTCCTAGCTGAGGCTCGTGCGCTCAAGCACAACACACACCTAGCATTTCTGGATATGGAGAAGGCTTTCGATAGCGTCTCGCATCCGGCCATCCATCGGGCCATGAAACGTAAAGGCATTCCGAAGCCTTTAAGGACATACATAATTTCGGGCTATGATCGGTCCTCAACCATAATAACCAGCCAAGGGGAGAAGTCAAAGGACATCCTGATCACTAGGGGGGTGAAACAGGGTGACTCCCTATATCCATTTCTCTTTAACCTAATAATTGATGAGGCAATTACTAGGGCTAAGGACTTGGGGCTAGGGGTTGGACTGGGGGGCAAAAAGATATCAGCACTGGCATTCGCCGACGATCTGGTTGTGGTAGCAGAAATGGCTGCTGGACAACAGACACACATAACAATTATTTGCCCCACACTGCGTGGCTCTGGTCTTAAAGTAAATGCTGCAAAATGCCGTACGCTAAGCATAGCGATCAATGCTCATTGCAAGACGTGGCATGTCCCCGCCAGGAAGGCATACTTCGTCGGGGACGACGCAATCGGTACTATGAGTGTGGCGGACGAGTATAAGTACCTAGGAATACTTATCGGGGCCGGGGGCAGACGCTTATCCTACGGTTCCCTGTTTGAGGACGGCCTGACGAACATCACTAAGGCGTAACTCAAACCCCAACAGAGGCTATACGTACTAAAACACCACCTAATCTCCAAGATGAACCACCGGCTTGTTCTCGGACGCGTGTTTAAGACGGAGTTAGCGAAGCTTGACCGGCGGTTGCGGCATGCTACTCGTGGCTGGCTGCGGCTGCCTCATGATACTCCTAATGCCTATATTCATGCCGACGTGAAGGACGGTGGACTAGGAATACCCGACTTTGCCACATCAATCCGCCTACAGAAGAACAAGCGACTCAGGGCGTTAGTAGAGTCAGAGGATCCAGTGGTAGTGGCAGCGGCTCTCCTACCCGTGTTCCAAGCGCGAATGCGTCGATGGGTAGACCCGACCACGGCCGCCGGAACCCCTTCTAGTAGAACGACTGAGTGCTCTAGGAAGTGGAAAGCAAAACTGTATAGCATGGTCGACGGTGCCGGCCTCGCGTCCTCTTGTGAGGTTCCATCTTGCCACAATTGGGTCGCGTCCGGTACCCGTCTACTAAGCGGAGGAGATTTTGCTCATGCCATTCAAATTAGGGCAAACGCTGTAGCCACGCCGTCTAGAGCAACTAGGGGTAGACCCGAGACTTCTGGTCTCTGCGATGCTTGTCGGAAACCAGGAACCCTGGGTCACATATCCCAGGCATGCCACAAGACACATGGGGCTCGGGTGAAATGTCATGACGATATCACCCGGTTCGTAGCCGGCCGCCTGCGGCAAAGAGGTTTCGAGGTGGAACGTGAAGTCCGTATACCGGATGGAGGGACCTTCTGTAAGCCTGACATCATAGCTTGCAAAGGTGATGAGGCCTTTATATTAGACACCCAGGATCCCGGCTGATAACTTCCCACTCTCCCGTTCACATCAGAGCAAGTGCGACAAGTACGGCACCCCAAAGATCCTTCAAAAGGTCAGGGAATATACCGGGAAGCACACAGCATCTGCCTCTTCAATAACCCTTAATTGGAGGGGAAGATGGTGCAAGGAGAGTGCAAGTGGTCTACTGGATATGAGACTCACCAAGAGCGACCTTGAGATTTGCTCTGTGAAAGCCCTGACCTGGACATATTCCATTTACAGAATATGGTCCAAGACCACATCTAGGGGCAGACCACCTTAGCCCCAGGATCACCGTGCACAGGGTGCATAAGGGTCAATATAGTCTCGCTTAGGTGAACCGCAGCCAGGATAACTGGTAGCCAACTATCTAAGCAGAGTCGTTCATCTGGAGTACCACTTTTCCAAATGGTGTCTCACAAGAGAGTGGATGGCCTGGCCAGTGCCCACGAGTGGGTAAGGCGGCGGCCGGAGGGACCCCCATGCGCATACATGATATCCCTCCCGGGGCCTTGTTAGGAGCTTCCACTATGAATAGTTTTCCATGTATGCCGATGTCAAGTCATCAATCCTGCCGCTTAGGCAGCTTGCTGTTTTGACCTTCAGCGTTAGTTCTTTTTTAATGATATACTGTGCTCCTCTCCCTTTGTGTACTGTGTCCCATATAAGAAAAAACCAAATACAAAAGAATTTTTCATTTAATATATGTTTGTTTTTCAGGTTATTATTGTGTGCTATTAGTATCATCTTAACTTTTGTAGGTTGTGATGAGATCTGCCATTTATAGCAGTTTTATAGCAGTTGTATTTTAGTTTGTGTTTGATAGGGAATTAGGTATGCTTAGGGGTGCCTTCTCGCCATGCCCTGTGTCTGGGAGGATTGGTGCCCTGAAGCTACATAAACACCCTATACCCCCCGATGTGGCAAGGGGAGTTAGGGGACAAGATATCTCCATTTTCTGTTATGGCCCATTTTCTAAATATAATGAGTCATTTTTAAAGTTGAAAGGGTATAATTTAAATTATATGATGCAGTTGAATTATATTATATGATGCAGTTGTATTATAAAATATGATGCAGTTTTACAGTATGATGGAGTTGTATTATATAATATGATGCATGCATATAATGTGATGCAGTTATATTATAAAATATGATGCAGGCGTATTATACAATATTATGTAAGCATATTATATAATATGATGCAGTTGAATTATAATATGATGGATTTGTATTATATAATATGAAGTAGATGTATTATATAATATGATGAAGGCATCTTGTATCTGGCTGTGTCTTGAGTCTTGTGTCTGTCTGTGTGGTATTAGCGTCCTGAACAACACAGTATCTGGGAAGTGTTGAGTGTGGAGCTGAACAGTCTTCCGGCCCGGCGCTCTCTTCTGGTAATTACTTCCTTACATTTAATACAATAAATACAACTACTGATCATTTTTAGCATTTATTATAAAGAACAAGAAGTGAAGGAAAAGTATACATGGAAAACACTGACCATGAGACAAAACCAACAGTTATTCACATTTGATTAACAAAACAAGGGAAGTAATATATATTAATACACTGGCAGTAATGTATATTAATACAAACCAACAGTCATTCACATCTGATTAACAAAACAAGGGAAGTAATGTATATTAATACACTGGCAGTATTTAATACACCTGGGATGTGGGTGAGCTCCATGCCCACCAAAGTATTGTACACTGGAACAAGTAGCAATATACTGGATGAGCCAATGGTAGGAGGACAGTGTCAGCCGGCTGTCAGCCCTCAACATGCGCTGGACCTCTTGAAAGCATGCATGATGTTGTAATTAATACCTGTACTCTTCCGTTATGACACATATCTTTACCCATGTTTTTAGTACTATACGTGATGAAGAAAAACATGAATCAAATAGTTTGTATTACACAAATAACAATATATTTAACAATATATTTCCGCCGTTCAGGTGATCAAACTCCTTGCACCGCACCGCCCACTTGTACCGTTGGCCCGTTGAGGCTCCTTCCTTCCTCGGCTGTCTTCCTTGTGCATGCTGAAGGCGTTGATGGTATGGAGTGCGTTGTGTTGAGTACTTGCCCTGTTAAGGGCGTTGATGGTTTGGAGTGCGTTGCGTCAAGTGCTTGTCCTGGGGTGTGGCGGGTCCGGGTCCCGGCGGTCAGGAAGACTGGTCCAGGCACGTAGCGACACCTGCCGAAGAATACAAAGTAACTATTGCTGAATCGTCAGATACAGAATCAGTAAACTGTGACATAACATACATATTGTACAAGGACTTCAATAATATAGCAATAAAAGGCCTATAAACATGGTTATCGTCAGTACAGTACAGTATTACTGTACTAATGTACTGTATATTTTCATGGTTATAAACATGGGCAAATATGTTAATGATGTTGGAATTTTGTTATAAAATTATTAATATTAAGATTTCAGCGGCTGGACTCTTATTCTATTTAGGAGCTATAGCACTCTATATGATGCAGTTGTATTATATAATATGATGCAGGCGTATTATATAATTGGATGCAGGCGTTTTATATAATTTGATGCAGTTGAATTATATAATATGCAGTTGTATTTTACAATATGATGCAGGCGTATTATATAATATGATGCATGCGTATTATATAATATGATGCAGGCATATTATATAATGTGATGCAGGCGTTTTATATAATAAGAAGCAGTTGTATTATATAATATGCAGTTGTATTATATAATAAGATGCAGTTGCATTATATAACAAGATGCAATTGAATTTTAATGACATTATAAAATTAAAAATATGATACATGAGGGATAAATTATGTGTAGGAACTAAATTGATTAAAAATGTATAATATTTACCAAAATTATAATATTTAACATTATAATATGTAATAAAATATTGTACTGCTCGGAGTGCTGGACGCAACACTTACACGTGGCCCACTACCTGACCACTACACGTGACACTTCACTGTTTACTGCTCTGAGTGCTGGACGCAACACTTACACGTGGCCCACTACCTGACCACTACACGTGACACTTCACTGTTTACTGCTCTGAGTGCTGGACGCAACACTTACACGTGGCCCACTACCTGACCACTACACGTGACACTTCACTGTTTACTGCTCTGAGTACTGGACGCAACGGACTCCAGTACTTCAAAATTTGGAGTGGTCTCCTCCCAGTCGATGTTGGATTTCGGACTCCTCAATCCCGAATTGCATTGCTCTCAATCACCGTGGCGTCTGCCTTGACATGTGCATGGAGCAGCACTTGTTTCGGTTAAGTGCAAGCCACACAGTTTGCCAAGCTCTTTCTATTGTATCGAGCAGAGTTTGCAGTCCATCTTCCTCCCCAGCGATCATGGTGATGTCGTCAGCGAATGCCAAGTAAGTAATTATCAATAAAAGGCACCAAACCGAAAAGGCTATGTAGCACCATCAAATGTACGGGATAATCAGAGGGTGCTAAATATCACCAAGGATGCCAATACGAGAACAGAAACGCATAAGGCGAACGATATCAAAAGTATCTGAGTCGCCAAGAATTCTATCGAGAGACAAGCGACCATGGGGGACAGTCGGAAAACAAGACACACGCTCGTCCTGGAAGTCAGGACATTCAACAAGGATATGCACGACCGTAAGAGGGACAATGCAATGTGGACAATAAGGAGCAGGGCGGCGCTCCATTAAGTGACCATGAGTTAAATGGGTATGACCAATACGTAACCTAGCCAGAGCCGTTTCCCACCGCCGGTTACAGTGGCAGAAGGAAGGCCACTGGGACACACGATTCTTAAGAGTACACAATTTGTTACCAATAACAGAAGACCAACAACTCTGCCAGTGGGCAAGGATGGAGGCATGAATAACTGGGTAAAAGTCGGAATAAGGAATACTTTTACGAGAGATGGGACAAGCGCGGATAGCTTCCTTAGCGGCAGCATCCGCACGCTCATTTAAAGAGACACCAACATGGCTGGGAACCCAGCAAAATGCAACTGACTTAAATTTACTGGAGATAAGAAACAGCCAATGTTGAATCTCGACAACCACCGGGTGGACCCGATTAAAGGACCGGGAAAGCAGGAGACGAAGAGCATAGAGAATAGCATAAGGTTCTGTTGTGAAGATGATATCCTCCGGAGGAAGGCGACACATATAAGTGTGGTCAGGAAAAACAACAGAGTAGCCCACACCGTCAGCAGACTTAGACTCATCGGTGAAGATGGGACAGCGAATGCCAAGCTGGGATACTTCAGGTTCGGGTCAGCCTCCAGGCCAATGTTTATTGTTGTCCTCAGAATGGCTTCGATAGCAATGTTGAACAGAAGGCCGCTTATTGGGCATTCTTGCCTGACCCCGCAGTTGGCTGGGATTTTTCTCATCTGACCATTGATCGTCATTACTCTTGTGTTCTTGGTGGTGAGGCTGTGAGTGACTGCCAGAAAGTCATCTGCCACCATCCGTCAAAGCTGAGATGAGTTAAGTTGGGACGGAACCGAAAGCATTTGTGATATCAAGGAAAGCGATGAATACATCCTGATTGCCAAGTCCTGTCCTTGCCGCATCCAGGTAGTGTTACAGGACGAAGTTGTGTTCGAGGACTCCATCAGTTGGCATGAATCCCTTCTGAACAGGACAAAGCACGTCGTTGTCAATGATTCAGGTTCGTAATCGGGAGGAGAGGCAACCAGTGTATAACTTGTAGATGGTGTGACAGAGAACAATTGGTCTCCAGTTGACGTCAACAGGGTCACCTGCTTTGGGGATGAGTATTGTCCAGGATGACTTTCAAGGACTCTTGGATCTTTTGCTGAAACATATGTTGAGGATCGCTGGGATGACACAGTATCCTGGGTCGGCCGTTTCCAGTGGTGGTAGGTGAGCTTGTCATTTCCCGGAGTGGTATTCTCTGTCCTGGAGAGCCAAATTGCCACTTCTCGTACAGTTAGCTCTCTTGTGTCCATTTCCCTGTGGTCTTCAGGTGGATCTGGGATGGCATTAATTACATCCAGATTTTGTAGAGGGTCTTGGATGCCTAGCATGCGGATGAAGTGCTCCTCGATTTCTTTGAGGATGGGACAGCAGGCACTCTCTTCTGTTATAATGAATCATACTGCTCTCCGCCGATTTCTTCTGTACAAGCATTGGATAGTTGTGCAGTCGTTGACGTCGGTGGTGGTGGATAATGGCTGTCTACCACCTGTTGGTATCTTGAAGTGCTCCTGGATTGCTTTTATCCGCTGAAGGAGGACAGTGAATGCGTCCCAGTCCGGGGGTGTAGGAGCTCTTGTAGAGTGGCCATGTATTCCTCCAGCAGCCATTCTTCTTCAGCCTCATCAGGAGTATTCCTCTCTTGCTGGGGTTGATCTTCCACATCATCGGGGGCACCATCTCCACCGTCATCATCATCGTGGGGTTGAGACTGGTCTTGATGTTCTGTGTTGGAGGCTGGAGATATTAGACTACCTTTATCAGGATCTGGAAGCGGGCTGAGAGAGTGGAGGTGGTAGAGGGAGTGGAGATGGGGGTTAGGTGCTGGGGCAGGTGATGTTGAGTGAAAGGGCTTTCAGGCAATCCGAAATATATTTTCTCCTATGCAAAATCAAGATCAAAAACCACATCTAGTATCGGGCCAATGCGAAAGGGAGATGGAACTTTCACCGATGACAACAAAGAAATGAGCGAGCTACTGAGAAAGCAGTACGACTCTGTTTTCAGTGAGCCATTAAACGCACTAAAGATTGATAACCCAAATGAATTTTTCATGGATATGATACCAACATCAAATCATATATCAGACGACACCCTATCCCCACTGGATTTTGAAGAAGCCATAAACAGTATGCCTATGCACTCTGCACCAGGCCCGGATTCTTGGAACTCCATATTCATCAAGAACTGTAAAAAACCATTATCACAGGCCCTCCACATTCTGTGGAGACAAAGCCTAGATACTGGCGTTATTCCTGATATACCACGTACAAAACTCAGGCAAATCATAACATAGAACGTAAAGGCAATGTAAAGGATCTGGGTGTACTCATGTCGGAAGACCTTACCTTTAAAAAACACAATAAAGTATCCGTCACAACTGCAAGAAAAATGACAGGTTGGATAACAAGAACTTTTCACACTAGAGATGCTATACCGATGATGACACTTTTCAAAACGCTTGTGCTCTCTAGAGTGGAGTACTGCTGCACAATGACAGCCCCTTTCAAAGCTGGAGAAATTGCTGACCTGGAGAGCGTGCAGAGATCCTTTACTGCTAGAATCCACTCAGTAAAACACGTAAACTATTGGGACCGACTAAAGAGCCTAAATCTGTACTCCCTTGAGCGCAGGTGGGAGAGATACATAATAATTTACACGTGGAAAATATTAGAGGGGCTGGTCCCAAACCTGCACACAGAAATAACATCACATGAGACCAGAAGACATGGCAGGATGTGCAGAATACCCCCGTTGAAAAGCGGAGGTGCAACAGGTATTCTGAGAGAGAACTCTATCAACATCAGAGGCCCGAGACTGTTCAACACGGAGACTGTTCAACACGCTTCCGCTACACATAAGGGGCATAACTGGCAATCCCCTCACAGTGTTCAAGAGAGAACTGGATAAGCACCTCCAAAGGATACCTGATCAACCAGGCTGTGACTCATACGTCAGGCTGCGAGCAGCCGCGTCCAATAGCCTGGTTGATCAGTCCAGCAACCAGGAGGCCTGGTCGACGACCGGGCCGCGGGGACGCTAAGTCCTGGAAGCACCTCAAGGTAACCTCAAGGTAAGGTGGGGTGAGGAGGCGAGGGGGTAGGTGTGGACTGGGCTGACTATGGGTGTGGTGGGGAATCAGGTCTGGGTTGTTGGTGGGCTTGCACTTCTTGGGTGAGGTATCTTATTTTCATGGATGTGCAACCCCCTGTTTGTGGAGAAACTTGAAGCGCACTTGGGACACTGGAAAGTGTGGCTAACTTCCTCTTTGGGTTTTCTGGCAAGGAGCTGTCGTTGTGCTACACATGTGTGTCTGGTGGGGTGAAGTCCTAAAACTTAGAGACTGTGCACATTTGGCTCTTCCCTGTTATCTTGATGCCATGTTTCTCATCTAGATGGCGGAACAGTTGCTTGTCCATACAGTTCCTGTAAACACCTTGCCAGTGTGCCTCGGTACATTTGAAGTAGGGGTAGTA